CCTTTCGAATGTGAACGCTGTTTTGTGTTGGTCTTCCGGGTGCATCCGTATTTGGTGATATCCCGCCTTAAGGTCCAACGTGCTAAAGACCACGGCTCCACTCAACCTATCCAGTATATCTTCGAATCTGGGGATCGGGTACTTCTCGTCTACCGTGTTATCGTTCAATTTACGATAGTCTACTACCACCCTGTATTTTTCCTTATTATCCCCCGGTGCTGCCTTCTTCTTCACCGCCCACAGGGGACTATTGAATGGTGAGGTGCTATCAACTATGATCCCTTGTTCTTTTAGACTATCTAGCTCCTCTCGAATATGCTGCCTCAACGCCTGCGGGTATCTTCTCTCTTTCACGTAAGTTACCCTATCCTGCTTCAGTGGGATTTCATGTACCGTCCTCCCTGTTACCCCTAATACCTCACCTTCCCTGAAGAAAATGTCCCTAAACTCCTCCTGTAGCAACTTCCTCCAGTCCTCCACTCTATTCACCGCCCCTATCCGCACCCTTCTTTCTCTCGCGACCCCTATACATCCGAACTTCTTCTTTCCCAACCTAACACTCCAGGCTCCTCTACGATTCCTAATGCTCGCCCCTACCTGCCCCAACAAATCGCACCCCACTATGACCTGGTATTCCCGAGTCATGTTTTTTACTACGTGTACCTTCAGTTCGCCCTCTTTTCCTGCCCACCGATCAAGTCTTATTGTCGCTTCCCCCTCTACGCTACAGGGGCCACCCAGAGTGATTAGTTGGCAATCGCATTTTTGGATCCGGAGTGCCCTCTCACTCCCGCACACTTTCCCTAACGCCCCTCTGGTCATAATAGTGCTCGAGCTCCCGGTATCCACGAGGCACTTTACTCCCCCGTCTACCTCGATAATTGGCAACCAGCATGGCTTACCTCGGATGTTGTTGCATGTTGCTGTGCGGTCGCCTCTCTGCTGCCACACTCCTCAGATGCCGCCCAGCTTCCTCCTCCCCGCCGCCGTTCGTCGCTGCTCGGTCCGTTGGCTGCTCCTGCCTCCTTCGCCTCCACTGCTACCTGGTTCGTCCGTCTCTGTCCCCGAAGTTCCCGACTCCTCGGTTGCCTCTCCCGAAGATCCGTCCTTCCGCTGTATCCTAGCCCGTCTTGTCAGCTTCTGCGTGTTTACTTCCATGGGCTCGTCTTGAGTTCTTTCTCTCCTCCGGAATATGTACGGGCACTGCCTAGCAATATGCCCTTCGGTACCGCACTCGAAACATCTAGTGCGCGGACATTGTGCAACTAAATGTCCTGGCTTTCCGCACCCATGACATTTCCTGTCTTCCCTGCGGGGTCCATTCCTCGGCCTCACTTGTCCGGATCTTTTTTCACCCATCCTGACCTTTTCTCCGCTCGGCTGTACCGTTTCTCTCCTCTTCCAACCCATCGGGGCTGTCCGGGGTCGTCTGTCATTCACCCGGATCCACCCTGGTTCTTCCACGTCCATCCGAGTCTCTTCTTCCCTTGCGCTTAGGTCGATCATTTCCTGGGCACACTCGAGGAATGATCTCTCCCTGGGCAATCCGTCTCTCCTTCCCGTTTCCTTCGCCAACTGGACCTTGAGTATCGTCGAGAGGAACTCCATCCTGGCTTCCACCTCTCCCACACTCATTGTTTCGCGCATTTTCTCCGTTATGCGGTTGTACTTTGCCACTAGTACCCCCGCATACTGGCCCCTCGTCTGACGTTGGGACCGGCGCTCCCTAAACATTTGGAAGATGTCTTCCTCCGGCGTCCATCTGCCTCCTCCGAAGGCCTTCTTCAGTCGCTCCTTAATCACCGGCCATGGTGTCTCCTCATCCGCCTGAATTTGGTTCAGGATGCTCCTCCTTACTCGGCACACCAGAGCCGCTTTCAACGCTTCCGCGTCCCCTAGGTTTACCAGGTCCTCCGCCACCTTTACCTCTATTCTAGACATGAGGCGGTCTCCGCCTTTCAGGAAATGGTTGAGCTCACCTACCTCGCCACCGAAGCGTTCCAGGTCCGCAATGGCTCTTCGAAGGTCCTGCGTGGTCGCCGCTCTTATTTTCATCCATTCCAGCGCGTTAGCGTGCGCTTCTGCCAATGTGTCCCTCGGTAAGGGAGGGATCTCCTGGATCTGCGGAATCTGCGGTACCTGAGGTATTTGAGGTATCTGAGGCACCTGAGGGGCCTGCGCGATCTGAGGTATCTGCGGAATTTCTTGAGGTTGAGGGATTTCCGGGGCACTCAACACTCCCGGCCTGATTAAGCCCTCTGTTGGCATTTCACTCTTTCCTTATGACTAGGAGAAGAAAAAAAAAAACCAAGAGAAAAAAAATGACTTTAAAAAAAAATTACTTCTCTGTTCTCCTGTCGTAGTCCCGGGTTTCGGCACCAGTTAAGCGTCGGCGGACTCTAACAATAAAAAAAAAAGAAAGGAAAGGGCTTGAAATGCAACACTCACGGTTTCAGAAAAGATACTGCTTTATTCCTCTAGTAATCCTCCTTATATACATTTCATATGTTTATTTACATTCAGGACGGTATTAAGGCTGATATCGCCGGTCTCCGGTCTTTATCTTATATATATATATATATATATATATATATATATATATATATATACATATTCCGGTTTTCAATTTATCGAAATCAACTATAAAATTGTAATTTATAAGACCACACAACTTTCCATTTACTTTCACATTAACCTATAAAGTTTAGATAGGCTTAATAATAATATTTCTATCACATAGAAGTGGTTCACTTTTCACTAACTTCTTTCCTCTACATTTTCTCAAAATGACTGTTAGTATGTAAAAGATAGTTACAATTTTTCTAATGTTATTGTTTTTATAAATTAATGTTTTTCATTATTAACAATACTGTTTCGTTATAGCATCCACCAAAAAGTGGTTTCGTGAAATGAAATCCGACAAAGTTTCCTAAAACATAATGAACTACGGCAAACATCTGGTTACTACACTTGTAATTATATCACATATATGTATATATATATATATATATATTTTTTTTTTTTCCTGGCTACGTTCCTCTATGAAACCATCAACAATCATTATCCTTCTTACACCTACAACCTTCTCCTGCAAAGTAATAAATTATATATACATTTAAAGAAAACACTATGTTCTACAATTTTCTTTCAAACGATTTTCTTGTTGAACGGAAAGCCGTAGTGTTAAAAAGACAAGATTGACCTTAAACGTGAGGCGAAAATAATTTTTTCGAAAATAATAAATTTAAGTTAGTGAGTAAAAGATACAAAATATATAAATATAAACTTTCTTAAAGGAAATTTTGTTAACTTTAATTTTATGTATGTCAATGTTTCGTCTACGAAGCCACGTTTTCAAGCTTATTGTATATTATGTTTGTATTATCCAGTCATCAGTTTTTCACATGACATGAATACTACACTGATAGGAGTGAATTCCAGTTTACAGGTGGAAATTCATAGAACACAATAGGCACTATGACCCCTTAGCCCCTAGTCTCTATGACTCTATGACTGTTGTAGAACCATAGATGGCGAAAAATGATGAAATTGCTTTTTGCAAGACCAAGACCAAGGCCGCCTAACTGTTGCAAGACCAAGACCAGGATTGGTAAAAAAAACGATGTTTTTAATAAAAAAATAATTCAAAATAGTTACTAATATTCGACAATCTTAGTTACTATATGTAAATAATTGGTATAACCAATATAGTTTTGCATTTAATTCCTCTAATTTTTCATTCCGGCTTAGTTAGGTTTCTCCTATCTACAAAACACAGTACTGTAAGACTGTTGCGAGACTCCTGTGCAAGACCAAGACCATGACCAAACTGAGTTTGCAAGTCCAAGACTCGTCTGGGTCTCGCATTTGAGCAACACTAATAGAAAGTAATACTGTTATAGGTTATGTTATCATATCAGAGAAGAGTTTTGATGATAACAATTAAATTAAAATTTAAACAAAATATAGCTAATAATTTTAGTAGGGTTGAAGTAATAATTTAAATATTATAGTAGGTATATTTAAATAGGGATTCAAATATAACTATATCCAACTACCATTAACAAAACAAAATTGTTTTTTTAAATTAAAGTGACAAGTTAATAATTACCTCTTTATCATTTCTTAAAATTGTTGGGAGTTAAATAAGGGAGAGAAGAAAGCTCTGCATGCGCTAGTTTTACGTTGGTCTATTTTCGACCGTTGGGTATGGTAATTGTGAAGCCGAGGTATTTGAATTTTGTACTCTCGGTTATGATTTCCTTTCTACGCATATCATGTTATTGGGGTGGGATTTTCGGCTCATTATTATATATTTTGTAATGTCTTCATTTACTTGTAGGCCGATTTGCTCTGCTTTTCTCATAAGAGCGAGTTTCCCATTGTCCACTTGTTAAAATGTAATTTTTCAAATTACTATAATAGAATATAAATTATAGTAAAAAGCCAATGACCCTTTTGGGTAGAGGCAAAAAAAAGAGGATAAAATTACTTAAGAGATTAAAATAATTATATTTAAAAATTATAAACCTTGAATTTCATTAACATTTTATGTCGCGTAGATTAACAGAAGCTGTTGATGTTTTTCAAGATATTGGTTTAATAAATTCTCTCTATTTCTAACGCAGATTTATAATTTTTTAAAATTTGTTTTGAATTATACCATATAAAATGTATTTACCTTTCAGGATATACACATCAACGTTATACAATTTAGAACACAAATGAAAGCGACAAATGAAATGAAAAGAAATTAAAAAGAAAATGTACCCATGCAGTTATGATAAATGGTCACAATCCTGATAAATGAAAAGAATACATTTCTGTACATTCGCTATTTATTAAATTTGCTATATAATATATAAGATATTATTTTTATTATTATATTATTATTTTTCAAGATATTGATTTTAACGATTCTCTCTATTTCTAACATAGATTTATTTTATTTTTTTCAAATTTGTTTTGAATCATACCATATAAAAGTATTTGCTTTTCAGGATATGTACATCAATGTTATACAACTTAGAACACAAATGAAAGCGAAAAATGAAATGAAAAGAAATTAAAAAGAAAATGTACTGATGTAGTTATGATAAATGGTAACAATCCTGATAAATGAAAATAATACATTTCTATACATTCACTATTTATTAAATTTCGATATAATATATAATATATAACATATAACATATAATATATGATATATGATTTTTAAAAATTGTATTTAATGGTATTTTTAATTATGATAAATGTTCACAATCCTGATAAATGAAAATAATACATTTCTGTACATTCGCTACTTATTAAATTTGCTTCACTGTTAGGGTTGGTTCTTCAGAATCTACAGTATACACGACGGAGAATGGTACTCCCCAAGGCTCCCCACTCAGTGCAACACTTTTCCAGGTCGCGATAAACGACATAGCAGGGGTTTTTGTTAGACCAGCAAAACTTATTATGTACGCAGACGACATATTGCTCTATGTAATAAGCAAATCCATTAAATTTATAGAATGGAAAATTCAAGAAGCCCTTGACAACATAGAAGCATGGTCGACAGACAGTGGTTTCAAAATGTCAGCTAACAAAACCAGAGCCATGCACTTTTGCAGGCTAAGAGGTTGTACATTCAATCCAAGAATACAGATGAAAGGTGTCGGAATCACATTTGTTGATAATCTGAAATATCTAGGGATGCACTTGGATCGACCGCTTCGATGGACACTGCACATAAAAATACTTAAAGAAGAGTGTCTGAAAAGGATCGCCCTCCTCAAAAGTCTATCCCATACGAACTGGGGAGCGGATAGGAAAAACCTCTTAAATATATATTGCACAACCATCAAAAGCAAACTAGATTATGGCTCAAGTGTTTACGGTACAGCATCAAAGAAAACTTTAATGATGTTAGATGTTGTGCACAATTGTGCTTTAAGAATTTGTACTGGTGCATTGGCAACCTCACCAGTAGAAAGCCTATATGTTGAAGCAGATGAACCTCCTCTCTATATGAGAAGATTGTATCTAACCCTAAAGTACGGTCTCAAAATTAAGACACGCCCAAAACATACATTAAATAAAATACTGTTTCGGGAAGAATCAGATAACAGCTGGGGAAAGCATTTCGTAGAAACATTTCTTGAAAATGTCTCAGAATCAAAGTTAGAATCTCTTTTGGACGTGCCGGACATTATTATCCCCCCTTGGATCCATACCTCGCCAGTTATAGAGAACTCGATGGCTGGCTCTCGAAAAGATACGCTACTTCCTATCGAAGCACAAACCCTATTTCTGAAAATAATGGAAAAGCATAAAAAATGTAATATCATTTATACTGACGCTTCAAAAGTAAACGATGAAATAGGATGTGCTATTGTCAACTCTCAAATAGAAAAGTACTTCAAACTTCCAGAGATCTGCTCTGTATTTAGTGGAGAGATGATCGCTATAAGAGAAGGTTTGACTTACATTGATTCAACGGAGAGTAACAAATGGATCGTGGTAACGGATTCAAAGAGCGCAATCCTGGCCATTAAAAAGAGAACACCGACAACTACACTGGCAAGATCTATTAAAAATATCTGGTGGAAACTGACAGAAAAGGGAAAGGAAATAGTATTCATGTGGGTTCCTTCACACTGCGGAATTGTCGGAAATGAACAGGCAGACAAAGCAGCAAATATGGCGAGAAGGGTAGATAGAAATCCAACAGCTATAATCAAAGAAATCCCGATAGAAGATTTCATACATCATATAAAAAAAAAAATTGCGGGTAATGTGGCAGAACGTATGGCAACAAAAAGAAACCAAATTAAAAGGAATAAAAAGCCACTGTTCCAAATGGAAAACTAGCAACCGACTCTCTAGAAAAGAAGAGACAGTCCTCTGCCGCTTAAGAATTGGGCATTGTGAATTTTCACTTGCCTATTTACTAAGAGGAATAGACCCACCGACTCGCGAGAGCTGTAAGGTGCAAAGAACTGTCCAACACATCATTCAAGACTGCCCAGTATTTGAGAATGTAAGGAAAAATCTCGATATGGCTCAGAGCCTAAAAGAAAACCTCAGTGACAACGAAAACGCCCTGGAAAAAACCTTCCAGTTTTTAAAAATAATAAAGTTCTACAATAGAATATAAATAGGAAGTGTTGCCAATGACCCTGCAGGGTAGAGACAACAATAAAAAACAAATAAATAAATAAATAAATTTGCTTTATATAATATATTATTTTTTAAAATTATTTTTATTAATATATTATTATTTTTCAAGATATTGGTTTTAACGATTCTCTCTATTTACATAGATTTATTTTATTTTTTTCAAATTTGTTTTGAATTATACCATATAAAAGTATTTGCTTTTCAGGATATGTACATCAATGTTATACAACTTAGAACACAAATGAAAGCGAAAAATGAAATGAAAAGAAATTAAAAAGAAAATGTACCCATGGAGTTATGATGAATGATAACAATCCTGATAAATGAAAATAGTACATTTCTGTACATTCACTATTTATTAAATTTTGATATAATATATAACATATAATATATAATATATGATTTTTAAAAATTATATTTAATGGTATTTTTAATTTTTTTTAAATTATGATAAATGGTAACAATCCTGATAAATGAAAATAATATATTTCTGTACATTCGATATTTATTAAATTTGCTATATAATATATAATATATTATTATTTTTCAAGATATTGGTTTTAACGATTCTCTCCATTTCTAACGTAGATTTATTATTTTTTAAAATTTGTTTTGAATTATAGCATATACAATGTATTTGTCTTTCAGGATATATACATCATTGTTATACAACTTAGAACACAAATGAAAGCGAAAAATGAAATGAAAATACATAACACTTAATACGTACTACATAATATATAATACATTTTACATGACATACAATATATAATATACTTAAATTAATTTAATTTTATTATATACTCTATTATACACTGGGCAACAATGAAAATTTGCCATAGTCTCCAGCAAGATGGCCGGCGAAGTGTTCGATTTGAATTATACTATCAAGACTTTGAAAGATGTTTTTGATTACAGTCGCTTGAAAAAAGATCTGCGACGATTAAAAAAGATAACCTCTTTTTCAACAATAAAATTAGTTTTTCAGCAATTGCACAAAAGGTTGTGATGAAAGTATATAATCGACCTGCCCTAGGTTATTAAACCTAAAATAAAATATCATTTCAACCAAATGAAATTGGTAACGAATTTAAACGTTTAGTAAATACAAAATATTTACACATTTCGTTTCAAAAAGTTGCTGAAACTAAAAACGGGTCATTATTTATACAGACGGACAGGGAGAAAGATCTCAACAAAATTGCACAAACCATAAATGATTCAAGTAAAATATCATATCATAAAAGAAATAAAAGAAACCATCGTGTTGTTGTGAGAAACATTGAGGAAGATATATCCTTACAAAATATAACCGACTAGATAGATAACTGCTCAAAATGGCGATATATACTTACAAAAAAGTAAAATAAGACCTGTGGTTATTCTAGTCTGTGGGTCAGACCCTCCTATCGTGCACCCCCCCCCACATCCCTATAAACTGCATATCGTTGTGTTCCTTGTAACTATTTATTTATCAAAAGCCAATGTTGCCACAAAAAAAAAGTGAACTGCCACAAAATGGCGTCCAAAGATGGCGGATTGACGGCTTTGACTTTAGTTAGTTTTTTGGTCACTGAGAAACAGCATGGTGTAGGGCACACCAGGCTCACGCATGGGCACTACTCGACGGTAGTTCACCACTAAGATATCGCAGCTGCAATACAGCTTTACCAACGGAACATATTTTGGGAAATTTTCCGAGCTTGGATCCATCAAGGACTTCGTATCGCCTGTTAGGATATCGACAAGCCCTTCAATCGGAAAATCAGAAGAACTTTCTTTAATTTCTGAAAAAAACACAATTACTACAGACATATTTAAGCAATAACATCTTCATACACAAACTCACAACGTAAATCAGAAATAACTTATACAGTTTTAACAACACGTTCTTTAAAGAAACATCCTAACAACATACATATCTAAAAAAATACAACACGATCCCTACAGACATATTGAAATGTAATTCAATAATCAATATAGTGCCTCTAACCTATATAGTTGCACACTTCACCTAAAATACAATCAAATAAATAAAAGATCTTTTCGTTGAAAATACATTTAATAACATCATAAATTATTCGCGTTTATTTTTTTTTTTTATCATCATTCAACTATACTACAGATATCTCACTTTTAGAAAAACTTCCTAGTTAATTAAGCTTAAAGTCCATATTAATTAAATTGATGTTTATTGGGATAAACATTGAGATACGTCTTGAGTTGTATATAAAAATGATATGATTTTTTATCATGTTACCCAAAAGTTGCCGTATTTTCAGTAAAAATGAATACAATTAACTGCTGCAAAGCTTTTATTTCTTCTTTTTACATGATCTGGGATGTGTTTTAATAAATATTACTGCTTATATATCCTTCTAAAAATACAAATTTTAAATAATGATTTTCACTTAATTTTCATGTACAACCACTAGCGGATCCACTATTTATTTTTTTTTTTGGGGGGGGGGAGCTTCAGCCCGAAATATTTTTTTTTCATAAAAATAACGATAATTACTTTGGAAAAACAGAAAGAAACTAACTTCCTATATGAAATGGTGTTTAAGTTATCCCTTAAGTACTTTTAAATGTAATTACACGAACAATAATACTTTAAGAGGTATTTTTTAATTTTTTTTTCCCCATAAAACATGGTTATATTTTTCCATTTTGGGGGGGAGGCTTCAGCCCGAAAGCCCCTCCCCCGTAGATCCGCCCGTGTGTACAACAGAAGGCTGCACACCAACATCTGGTTCAGATGCAACAACCAGCTCAAAAAGCAGTCAGAAAAGAACACACCTCTGCAAACTACGCCTTCAACATCAGTACCGCAACGCAAAGCACCAAAGTTTGGGGGACACGGCTATGCAATCCAAGGGGAAGAAATCTGAGGACTGCTAACCATGAACTTTCA